ATGCGATGAGTCATTAGATTGAATAGTATAAATACCTGCGTAGGATGGTTTGATCTTTCCATCCTTGATGTCTTGCAGATACTTCAGACAACTTCGTTTCCAGTGTCCTTTGTCGTGGCAGTGATAGCACTCTGCATCCTTTGGGCTGGAAGAGGGTGTAGTGGTACCAGCTTTGGTTCCACTAGAAGAGGTGCCATCGTGAGACTTTCTCTTACGGTGGCTCTTTGAAGGAGCCTTCCTCTTCTTACCCTTGCCTTGCCCAATAGCCAAGACTGGGGCAGCAGTAGGAGTAAGAGTTGGTGCAACGGATTTGTCCTTGAGGTTGCTCTCAGCAGTCCTCAACAAGCCTTGAAGCTTGCTCAAGCTGAACTTCTCTTTGTTCATGTGGTAGGTCATGCGAAACTGGTTGAAGCAGGGTGACAGTGAATGAAGAATGATGTCAATCGCCAGCTCTTCATCGAAGTTAACATTTAACTTCAGCAGGCGGTCGACATATCTCTGCATTTTCTGCAGATGAGCAGTGACAGACTCACCATCTCTCATCTTCGTCGTGATCATCGAAGTGATGATCTCGTATCTTTCCTGCCTGACACTCCGGTGGTACCTGTCTAGTAAATCCTGGTGCATCTCATACGGATAGTAGTCCTCGTAGGACTTTTGGAGTTCAGCAGTCATGGTCGCTAGCATGATGCAATGGACTTTCGTAGCATCACGCTCATGGGCCTCAAAGGCAGCGATCTCCTCTGGAGTAGCAGTGTTGACATTCACCTCCTTCATCTCCTTGTCGAGGACATATTCTTTGTCCTCGTAGCGGGTAACCATTCGAATGTTGCGGATCAAATCATTGAAATTGGTCCCATCGAAAATCACCCTTCCACACAAATTCATGAGTGAGAATAAGCTTGAAGAGGTTGATCCAGAAGCGTTGTTGTTGTTCGAGTTAGACATCTGAAAAGAAAAGAGACAAAGTTTGATTAGATAAGAATCCTCAATTAAACACCTAAATGAGAAATTAGGGCTAGGATCCAACAACATTATTTACAACTTAAAAGAGGGATGCCGTAATCTAAATTGCAAATAATTTGAAGGTAAGTGAATGACGATTCACTAATTTCCACCATAAAAACAAAAGAGAATTAAGTTTTAAATGTATTGAAAACTCCTAGATCTTTTGAGATTCATTGAACTTTTCAATGACATGTTTAAATCTCGATATGCCCCTCAAGTTTGTGACTGGGATATCGAGGATCACAAACAGGGTGTGAATAACCATGCAAATATACATGGTGTCCCCAATGTTACAGTCACCTAATCGATGTGCCGGTTAACCACACACACTCCATCGATCTATGACAAACATCGAGTCACCCTTTTCCACCTTTGCTTAGAGCCAAATTAGTGTGCTGATTAACCACACACGCTCCACTAACGTCTTAGCAAGGGTACAAAGTGTAATTTCATGGAATAACATCAAATTCACATTTTGCCTAAAGTAACTAAGATTGAGAATTTTGTAAAAACATTTAGTTACTTTATGAATCATTATACTTTTAATGAGGAAAGGGTTGCCCTATCCTACCCGTTCGGCTAACGACCCACCACCAATCAAGGAAGCGGTGGGTGAGAGTGGATACCCATTAAACGACCATTTTATAGGCCATAATCTTATACCCCCATTATAGATCAGTTTCGTGAATGAGGCCTACTAACGGTAAGACTAGCATTTATGTTATACATATATAATAATTATTCTTATAATATTATAATAGTATAGGGTGAATTTTAAACTTGTAAAATTCTAGGGCTTGGAATTTAATTATTTCAAAATTAAACTTTTAATCCAAAAACTAAATTCCAAAACTTGAGGGTAACTTTTGAAACATTTCAAAACTAACTAGATCAAAATTCAAATAAATAATTAAACAATTAATTTTGGTGATTATCTAATTTTGACCTAATCCAATTTAATGCAAGATAATTGATCAAATAATTCAAATAATTAACATTTATCATATAAAGAAATAATTATTTAATTAATTTGAAATTATCTTTTATTTTGGTAAGGATAATCACACAATATCAATAAAATTCGTATTTTATCAACTAAAAGCCCGATTCGCCGAGTCCCCTTATGGACTCGTCGAGTTCATCTGACTCGGTGAGCCCACTTTGGGACTCGACGAGTCTGTCAGGCAGAACACCAAAAATCAATTTTTTCAAGCATGAATGGCATACAAAACATCAAATACAACAGAAACCAATCAATGCTCTAATACCACTGATGAGTTTTATACAAAAGAACAATCCTATGTGCTAATGCAAAACCCTAAAGCTTGAATCTAGGTTTCTCTGTTGTACATGCAATTCATCTAAGACTTGAATACCCTAATCTAGCATACATTAAAATCGAGATCTATAACAAAACAAGTTTAGATGATACCTTTCAATAGTTGCAAGAATCTTCAATCTTCAA